CTTAAAACATGCCGAAAATCGGCTGTTGTTTGTGGCTGAATAACAGAATCGTTGTTCTCCAAGAAAGTTAAGTTTGAATATTTTCGTGCAGATGAAAAAACTTTGGAAACTCCATAGACAAAAAAAAAAAGGTGCATAAAAATCACCTTTCATCGTCGACCATTCTCACATTCTTATTTTGCAATTCACAATCTTGCCTCCTCGGGTTACCGGATGAATGGCCTTGCATTGTTTGAAAGAATTTTGGGGGAATTCGAATTTTCTTTTGTCGCACCGTCGCAAAATTAGCAAAATCTTGTGAGAAATGACGTCATTTCCGATGTTGGAACCACCGTGTGAGCGAAGTTGATCGAAGGAAGTCCTGGGGGGGGGGGGGGTGAGAACTTACGGGAATGGTTGCACCGCGTCGTTATCAACAAGCTTATCCTCAAAAAAAAAAAAAAACGATCCTTAACTACTGTTTGTTGATGAAGAACTGAGTCAGATGCAGGGAAGAAGTGCAGGATGGAATGCGCTCGGTCATACTTGAAAATGCAATTAAAAAAAAAACCAGAACTAGGCAGGAAATGTATGTGATTCATTCGAGCACGAGCAAAAGAATTCAACGAGGGCACGGCAGGTAAAAAGAAAGATTCCATATTTCTTTCATGTCATTCACGCTCACTTCTCACCCACCATATTCTCCTTGCGAAAAATTAAACACGTATTCCCACGAAACATTTGAAAAGAACAACGCCTTATTCAGTAAGAGATCCGAGGATCAAAAATGATAGAATTGTGAAATATACTGTTAAATTGATGATCTGTCAACAAAAATTATTAAAATCAATCAAAAATCATCCCCAAGATTATTATTTCTCCACAGGTGTTCATACACATCTCGAATTCACCCACGAAATAAAGGTGTCTGGTGAGTTCCTCCGATTTGCTTACCTCCGCCCTAATCTCGACTGTTCGCATCGTTCTAGTCTCGCATGCAGGTGTAACAATCCGGTCACAAGAAGATGGATTCCTGGTCTGCAGGCGAGTTGAATCCCTCATTCAATGCCGACCGGATGGCCAGAGCTGACGTTAATAAGAAAAGGCGTTCGTGTATGAGGTGGGTCCATAAATTTCTACTGGCTTTGACGTCCTTTTGTGGAGTACAAATACTGTAGGTGCTCGCTATCAATATTTTTAAGTCATTCGATATCTAAAAACCCAAAAAGTCAATATTTGTAACCACACCATTCCGATTGTACCACCATCTTTTTTGTAATTTTGACATTATTCATTAAGCACAACCTGTTATCGTATAATCACCATTTTGTAAGGCGATTGTGATTTTCCTTTATTGCAAAACCGACAACTCATGAATGACCTCTCAATAATCTCCCACCGTTTGTGCGCACATTCATACATATTTTAAATGTATATCGGTGATATCGTGGTCGAAAGTTGATTTGTTTGTAAATAAATATTTTTATCTTGTTACAAAACGAAATTACTTCTTATTTTGGATGATTGTTGATCTGTGCAGTAACCGCATTAAAGCCACGCGCAAGTACTAAAACGTCTTAAGGGTGAAGAAGAAAACCTGATGGTCACTGGCTACGAATTCTTAATGCCTTTGGATCCGAGATCAAGTAGCTTCTGTGCGACCCAAGATTTTATTATCCCTCTCATTTCGGTGTAGGGTAATCCCGATTCTGAAGATAGAATGTTCTAGGCACGAATCGGTTGCACACGCATACACATTCCAAAGAAAAAGGGCACACTCGTTGATGAACGCTGTACACGCAATTCACCCACGAGAATGCCTTTTCTTTCGTGATATCACACGCACCCGGAGCTCAACAATCATTCGACCTGTCCGAGAACACTGACGTTCGCTGTGACGATGCATGTTTTCGTGAACTCAACCGAAGGGCGGACGGACGGACGGATGTGGCAAAGTCAGCATATTCGCAGTTCCATGGTAGAAATAAAAAGCCACAGGATGTGAGGTAGGTGGTTTGTGTGGGTTGTAAGTGCAGTAAATAAATCTGATCCATCGAGTGAACTTCTTCACACGCGTTTTTTCAAAAGGGAAGACGGGAAGGCTCATGTACAGTACTACTACTATTAATCTTTTTAAGTACGTTGTGTGTGTCACACGCGGTTAATCATTTGTGTTGAATAAGGAGGCTGAGACAATTGATTTTGACTTTTTCGGATTTAGCGACCACAATACAAAGAAAAATTTAACTAATTTTTTTTTGGCAAGCACAGCCCAACAATCCGACTCAGATTTGTGTGATTTGTGCATCATGTAATCAAATGTATTACCAGGTATCAAGGGCTGTGTTTAATTGTTTATTTGTTTGATCAAGCCACACATTTTATGAGCGCATATGGTACGTACCCTACAATGCCTCATCTCTCTCGACCGCCATAGAAAAATTAGTGGGATGATGCTATTTCCAAAAGAGAACTCGATCAATTTAATTCCAGAAACCACGAATCCGCACACGAGAAAATTAATCTCATCATGATCTATTTGCGGTCGGTCGGATCATTCACCTAATCTCAAGAATGGTGAATGTGTGACAACATCTCATTCGGCTGCGGACCTCTGGTCAGGAGAACGCGGCGGCGGCGAACGAACGTCCCCTTAACGAAATTCAGAGAGAAAGTTTCGTTCACCAAGTGATCGGTGCTCGAATAGGAAAAGGACTGACTATGTGGACGTCTTGTCGCATGGCACCTAGGGTCAAGGCTAATCTCGATCACATTGTTGCCACATGTTTGCAAGAGGATGAGATGAAATGAGGCGAAAGCAAAATAAGCAAACAAATACATTATTGCAGACTTCACAGACCGAAGAGGCTTACTCGGTTATGTTCGGCGTCGATGTGCGTAATTTAAATGTAATCGAGAAAAAAGGATTACGCGCACATATACACAACGGAAATAGGAAATAACATTAAACATTTCAAAACTGGATCACAAGGTGATAGCTTTTATGCATGCATGCATAAATAAATGAATACGGTTAAACAATACGGAGGTTCTAAACCAGAGTTCTTTTTTTAATTAATTCATATACAGGCAAATACTTCTTTTTTGAAAAGACGGTTCGCGTCACCGTTCCACCAACTTCCTGTTAGCTCACGAGAGAAGC